AGTTGTTTCTTTAGAATTTTTATATAATTCTGCCTTAAAAATTATTTTGACTAGATGCACGACGCAAGGTCAACGGCAAATCATTCCAGAAATAAGCCGACACCACTCTAAATGATCTCTTATACATCTCAGTGCGGCACACAGGGACAGTGAGCAAATCTTTTGACAATCTTGTATCCCTGGCAATGACCTCCCTTCTGAAACTGTACTTATCGTGCAAAATTTTAGGAATCTCCTTCGTTAGTATATCGTATGTAAGGCAACCAACGAAATAAAGTCTACGCTGCTGTACTTTGAGCCATCCTAACTGTTCGAAGAACGGTGTCACGTGTTCATAGCCTTTGATGTTAAAGATGAATCTTATACAGGTATTTAAAGAGCGCTGCAGTCTAGTATTTTGCTCTCTCGTGATATCAGTGAATGCCACGCAACAGTAATCGATATGCGGCAAGACAAGAGACACGATCAGTCTCGTTCTCAAAGGTACCGGTAACAGGTGTTTGCAAACTTTTAATTGGTGTACCGTCCGATTTGTTTGCTTAACAACTCCGTCCACATGCCCGTTCCATGCCAGAGTACTTGTGAGTGTGATTCCAAGATATTTTACTGTATCCACATATTCTATTCTCCTACGTCCAACACAGAACCGTTGAAGACGTTCAAACTGAATATTTCTAACATAGCGCGCTGTCCCGAAGATGATAGCGTGTGTTTTATCAGGATTCAGTACTAGGCCATTGTCATGTACCCATCTCTCAATCATACATATATCATTTTGCATCAGTGCAATGTCACCGTCCAAATCGCCCGGATTGCAGTGCTTATAAATGATCAGGTCGTCAGCATAAAATATATATTTCGAGGTCAGCAGTATCTGTTTGAAGTCCGACAGGAATAGAACAAAGAGCAACGGTCCCAGGACCGAACCTTGCGGTACTCCCATATTTGTATGCACGACCGAGGAAACGTTCCCCTCATCATCACGCACTGCCTGGCTTCTTCCGGTTAAATATGCACATAACCATCTCAAGGCAGAAGCTGAGAAATTGAGAGATCTAAGTTTTTGTATGAGCTTATAGTGGTCCACCTTGTCAAAGGCCTTCGAGAAATCGAAAAGAATCGCAGTGGTGACTTTTCTGCCGTCAGCGGCTCCTCTCACATCCTCTAATAGACCGAGTAAAGCAGTTTGAGTGGTGTGACCCCTTCTATAGGCAAACTGTCTACAGTCAAAGAGACCGCGCTCCTCAGCAAAATCTCTGATCTGATCCGCCGCAAGCCTCTCGAGCACCTTGGACACCGCACATAACAGCGACACCGGTCTGTAGTGTGAGAAATCCGCTGGTGTGGGGATCTTAGGTATGGGACAGATGTGCGCCACCTTCCACAATTCCGGGAACACACCCTGCTGGAGTGAGAAATTAAATATATGCAGTAATGATGGCTCTATGCTAGGTAAGGCCAGCTTAATCATTTGTGCGGATAGGTTGTCACAGCCAACTGCCCTCGTCTTTATCCTATTGATTGCTTTGAGCATGTCTGAAGCATCGATATTCCTCCAGTAAAACTTCTCATCATGATAGCTCACATCTCCAAGAAAAAACGGCTCGCAAGATGGAGTTACACCGCCCCAATGCAGACTCCCGCAAGATATTTATTCAGTTCTTCCGTATTAATTTTCTCAGTGGTTTTATTCTTCTTTGCTTTCAGGAGTCCAAGCCGTCTCAGTTCACTCCAAACTTCTTTGGTATTCCTACAGTTCTCGAAGAGTGTCAGATAGTACTCCGTTTTCGCCTTCCGAACCATTAATTGGACTTTGTTTCTCAATATCTTGAATTTCGCATTTGCCTCATCCGTTCTTCTTCTGCGCCAAGCTCTTCTGGCAATGTTCCTTTCTCGCATTTTTGCCTTAATTTCGTCCGTCAGTCATGGAGCCGGAAGCCTCTTCAGTTTAAATTCTCTCATTGGAGCTTGTTCATCCAAACAATCATGTATAGCTCCATTCAACAGTGCCACTTTGTCGTCAATGGATTCTGTCCTCATTATTCCGTTCCAGTCGTAGTTATTCAAGTGGAGATGAAAGCTATCGCGGTTGAAATTTTTGAAATTTCTTCGCCTTACAACGCCATATTTACGCCTTTCGATTTTAATACCGTAAACTATATATATTAATTCATGCGCTGAGAGAAACGATACATCATATTGCCCATAACAGCGGAGCTTGTCTATATCATCAACAATACACAAGTCGAGAAGAGTACTTGAATTTCCCACATGATGCGTTGCTCTTAAAGGGACCAAAGTAAGTGCGGACGAGTCAATGAAAGATTTTATATGTTCACTATCATATGTACTACTATTTAAATCACTGTTAAAGTCTCCCACAATTATGGAATTTGAGTAGAGTACCTGCCATTTCAGGAAGCTTTCCTCGAATTCGTTAAGGTATCCACAATGTGGCGGCCTGTACACCACCGATAGCAATACCTTAGATGCCTTGAAGCATTTTATCTCCGCGATTATATATTCTGGCTTCCTACTATACTCGTTGTTAGAGTGCTCAAGGACTTTCACCTCGATGCCTTCCATTGCATAGATTGCCACTCCACCACCATTCCTACCGATTCTGTCACACCTATGAATGTTATAGCCCTCTAAGCCAGCCATGTCGTCCGATACTGAAGGCTTTAACCACGTTTCAGATACACAGATGATGTGAAAATCTGCCTTTAGGAAGTGCAATCTAAACTCATCTATATGTGCCAGCAACGACTGGGTGTTGACATGGCACATTTTCAAATCCTCTAGCACAAGCTGTCTGTTAGCCATAGTTGATGTACGATAGCCTTTTAAGGATTCGTTTCTTCAATATCGGGCAATTCTTCACATCCAGTGCCGTATGTATTACATTTTC